AAGTGAGACTCGTCCCTTAAGAATACGCGAAAGAAAAAAAAATACGTCCACCTACACTGCAGGTCTCATATATTGTTTCTTTCTCTCCTCTAGTAAAAGTTAATTCATCATTTACTGGATTTTACTTTCTTCGATCACCTTAGTTATTATTATTATTATGTACCTTATTTATTATATAAAAAAACATGCACGCGCATACTCTTTAAATTTTTTTTTTTTTAGTTTTTCAATTTCTCCTTCTATTCTGCTTCCTTCTCTCATTATAACATTATACCGTCATCATCATCTCTTGAAGTTTTGTTTATCTTTTATTTTGAAAGTGCAATTTCAAATTGGTCCAGTAAACAAAATTCATTCTTTTCTCTTTCTTAATGATCATATACAATTTTTTTTGTTTTTTTTGTTGTTGTTGTTGTTATGTATGTATGTATCCACGGGTGATGAGACACGCCCCCTATAGACGGAATCGTCTGTTTCCGTGGAGACGCGCGATGGGAGGGGCGTGTCCGCAGGTTAAGGTGATTCTCTGGGCGTGGCTTGTTTAAATCGAGGCGTGGTTCTCGTTAGTATTCATGTATATATGTATGTATGTATATATATAAATATACGCAATGCGGTGCTGAAATGCTTGATGAGCCCAGGACGTCCGCTTCCGGGTTTTCGGTATTATCATGTTTGGTTGATGATGATAATAATACCAAAGCAAGTGCGTACTGCGGACGCCCATTCTAAGCATGATCAGCGGCGCATTGGCTACTACTTACACACACACAACTTAAGAAAAAACAAAGAAAACATTTCTTCCTCTACCCACGAAAACGTTAAGGGTTTGTTTTTTTTCATCAACCTCTCTTCTCATAAAATATACATATATATATTTTTTTTTGTTAAAAATTATTTTATATACGTGAAGAGATTAGGAAGGCTTAGCAGCTTTTATCTCTATGAAAGTTCATCTTCCTTTCTATCGTAGACAAGTTTTCAGCCAAAAGCAAAGAGTTCTCTCTTTCTCTCATTCTTCGTGCTTTCAAGTAAACGAAAAAGAAAACATGTTCGGAGTCTTGTACACCGCACATCTCAAAATGAAATTATAAAAAATGTAAAAAAAAGAAGCCAGAAACGTGATATTTTTTACACTAAAAATTACATTTATTTTTTTTTTGTTCTGAACGAATACTTATCATAATAATCATAATAATAAATACAATACAAGCAAGATTATCCTGTTTTTTTCTCTCTTATTCAATTCAAAGATA